AGAGGACGAAGGGCGGAAGAAATAGGGGTTGTTTAGTGGGTATAAAGTTACAGTTACACAAGTTAAACAAGCTCTGGAGATCTTCCAGATGCTTTTCCTGTTGCATTTTGTTCAGTCCTCACAGCATCACTTCAAAATGTTCATCATTACCTGCATTTTATAGTTTAAGATACCAGAGCTTGGAGAGATGGAAGCAGGTGGAAAAGCTTATGTTAGTCTCTTGTTCCATCCCAGTCTAGAGCTGCAACCGCGGGTAAGTTACTTAGAGAACACCCTATTGCTGTTCTCTTGTTTGTAAATTGGAAATACTAAGAGGTAATTTGGAGTATCCCTGTGAGAATGCAGAATAACAAATGCCAAGGCCCACCATATACTAGATAATAATTGAGACTTTTAGGGCTCAATGATTTTTAAGCCCAACCACTAAGTAAATGAGCTGGCATTCACACCAGATTTACTTGGTTCTTCCACTGAAAGAAAGGCGTGGGCTTCAGGGATGCCACATTCTGATTTGTAGAGCATTTATGTTTATTTAATGGGGTTCTATTGGTTGAAAATTCTTTGCAGAAATCATAATAGTTGTAGACATGTGTTATTTATATTAGAGGATGATCAAGATAGAAGCAACTCTTTGTGTTGTGTGCTTTTTTTTATAAATCTATTTTTAAAAACCCTCATTTAAAATACATGTGTATTTTCTGTACATAAAAGTCTGTTAATTTTAAAAAATCATTTGCTAGTTATAAACTTGGAGGAAATGACCCTCTTGCCCCCATGTCCTGTGCCTGAGGTCAGTTTTCTTAGCCTTCCCAAGAGAAGCTAAAGTTGGTTGGCCCAAAACTAGCTGTCATAATCCGAGTCACGATGCTAATTTTTAAATAGTTTCCACATATATAGTTGGAAGGAAACAGTGACTGTTTCTTTATTAAATTAGAACCAATACTCAGTGAAATACACAAAAAATAAAAAAGATTTCTTAGTTGTGCCAGCTACTAATGTAATTGTTTCTCAAAGCAAATTTAATAAACACCTAAAACTGAATCCTTGCTGACTCTGAAACTTACCTGGTGACTTGAAAGGCAAGTCTTTAAAATTGCATGGAACAATAAAAACTTCAGTGTTCAGAGGTGAAACAACATCATACAAAGCCATCATTAGATAAAAGCAAACACAAAACAGTTCTTAACTGTACAATTCATAAATCAGGGAGTGGGTTTCATATGCATAAACCTGACACTCACTTTACACAAAATGTGATCTTCTGTAAATTCTTTTTCTGTTCTGGACAGTATAGTTACTCTTTTAACTTTTTGTGGACTTGTGTTCTAGGAAATGTGCTTACTGTGTGTTATGGTTGATACATTGTGTCAACTTGAGCAGTTTAGGAGTTTAACTAAGAGACTCAGCTGGGAGCCAGGGTTCCTTCTTTGCAAATATCTTCATCCTGTGCAAGAGAAGCTCACAGAGATTTCTTGCTATGTCCGCTGGGGTGGGAGGTAATTTGTGTTCAGCATAAGGAATAGGAAGAGGCTTGTTCCTCCTTTCTGCTCTGGCTGCTGCCTTGAAATGTCGCCCCTGTGCTACGCCACCCTGTCTTGGAGCCAGCCGATTACGGACTGACACTTTCAGAAATTGTAAATTAAATAAATCTTTCCATCCTTCATTTTGTCAGGTGTTTTGTCCAAACAATGAGAGAAAAGTAAAAGTAACCAAGACACCGTGTGATAAGACTATTGCAGCTGAAAGTGTACTGTTATCTCTACTTCATATCCTTTAACCCACAGTAAGTACGTCTGTGGCTAGAAAATGTCAAATAAAATGGGAAAGATTGCCTAAATGGATACAAGCAATTATGTATATTGGAGCACAACACTAGCTCGATATAAACTTATGACATTTTTAGGTGAAAGTCAAATTGCAAGTACAGAATGAGGGCCTACTGTGTGCATCCCATTGTGATGGATGGTTTCTCAGTAAGAGATGAAAACATTCGCCTGCCTCACGGGTTTTGTTTTGTTTTTTTTTTTTTAGTGTTTGTCTTTCTCCAGCATTTGGTTTTGCTATTTTTGTATTTTAACAGGTATTAATTATGTAATTTCAGGAGTATAGTGTGTTAATTCAGTGTGTAATGAGCAAATTGAGTTGCCTAACGTTTTCATTTTCTTTAACACTCAGTTTTTTTATTTTCTATTTTTCTTTTTTTGGTTTTTTTTTGAGAGAAGTTCTCAGTTCGTAATTCAACCTGGCCTTGGGCTCACTTTGTAGCCCAGGCTGGCCTCGAACTCACAGTGATCCTCCTGCCTCAGCCTCCTGAGTGCTGGGGTTACAGGTGTGTGCCACTGTGCCCAATTAACATCTAGTTTTTTTACAAACTAACAATAATTGCACACCTTTTGGATTTACAACGTGATATTTCAGTACATACATACCTATATCAAATGTATAATGGTTAAACCAGCTAATTGATATATCCATCACCTCAAACATTTATTACTTCTTTGTGTGGGGAGCATTTAACATCCTTTCTACTTGCTATTTTGAAATGACAATTAACTGCTGTAACCATAGTTACCCTGCTGTGCTGTAGAACTCTGGAGTGCGTCGGTTTCCGGTGCAGCTGGAGGCTATGACACAGGTTGTGCTGATTCTCGGAGAACTCAGGTATGGTTATGCTAGAGCTTGAACGTTATGAGACGGTCACTGGAAATCGAGGAGGCATCCTTAGACCCCATGTCCCTGGACGTGGCCCAGCAGGGCGCTGTGGCTGGGAGGAACAGTAGGACGGTGCAAATCCTGCAGTTAGAAACCTGCGCTTGAGTCCTGTGCTTCTGAGCACCGGCATTGTGAGCTGGATATTGACTCCCCTGAACCTTGCTGGTCCATTTTACAAAACTGGATCAATAGCATCATATGCGATAATATTTTTGAGTTATTCTATACTAACTTATAAGCAGTAGCTTACAATGCCCACATTCTGGATTTTAGTGAAAAAGACTTCATTTATTTAGTATCAATTTTAATTCAGACTACATCTAACTTGGTCAACTTAAATGAAGACAAATGTACAGTCAGAGGAAGATGCCAAGTTTAAGGACAGTATCCGAAAGGCTTGGGATCAAAGACTAGTCTTCGAGTCCTGCCTCTCCCTTGGTAGAGTAAGAGGAAGAGCCTTAAGCAAGTTGCTTAGCCTCTGGGATGCAACTTGCTTCATTGGAAGGTAAGGGTAATTATACATGCTCTGTATTCTTTGAAGAATTATCAACGGGCTTTTGCAAAGATACATTTGCCAAGGAGTTATGATGGATGCTGCTGGCATCCCAGTGGAATAATGTTCTAGCTGAATGCCCATAAACACAGGTGGGTGCTAATTACCAGTGTAGATTATGTAATCAGGAAGTTCATAGGGCACCAGAGGCCCCAAATGTATCAGTGACATATTTATGTGAATTAGCAGGTGGTTAACTTAATTCATTTGTTCCTGAAAGAATGAACCGCTCTGCTCTGTCTTCTGGGATATAGATTTAGTGCAAGAAAACCTGCAAGTCCTAAACTAAAATATATTTTTAGGTAAATTCCATATTTGGACTTTATTAAAAATCTCAGCCCTATATACCGAGACATGTTTTTATGTTCTCCTAGAGTAGAATTTCTGAAGGCTATGTATTTTCTAGGGTCAGCCTAGGATGTGTGCTGCGCTAGATTTAGAGAAATGAGAAGTTGAACTAAGCCAGAGCAAACAGGAGGAGGATTTTGCTTCTGTAGGGTTTAGCATATGGAGTTCCTATTTGTCCATTCATTATTAACTTCCTCCTGTTTGCTCTCTGGTGAGTGTCACAGGGTTGTCCCTGCTCATTCCCTGAAGGTTCTCTCTTTCCGCTGAGTGCATTTTTTTCTTTTAGTAGTATCTCTTTTGTTTCATAAACCTCAAATGGTATTTCCAACTCTCTTCTGATCTGTTACATTTTTTAAAGGAAAGAAATACTATACTATACAAAAGAGACTTTGAAGCAGCAGGGCATTTATAATTTATGCCAAGGAGGAGGAGGAATTACGGAGACCTTCCCTGGACCAATAGATTTTTACTGTGTTTAAAAAGCTCAGATTTTCAGAACAAAACTCTCATAAATGTTCTTTCAGGTTTGTAAGCTGTATCAATTTGTCTATGTATTTTTAGACAGGAGAATTTAATAAGTATCTTTCATTTCAAAAACCTCAAAACAAGTCTGGTGTGGTGGCTCATGCTTGTAATCCCAGCACTCAGGAGGCTGAGGCAGGAGGATCCTTGAAAGTTTGAGACCAGCCTGGGCTACAAAGTGAGCTCAAGGCCAGCCTGAAGTGCATAGAAAGACCCTGTCTCAAAAAAAAAAAAAAAAAAAAGACAGAGCCAAGGTTTGCTTCCCTTTCCTGGACCTGTGGCCTCAGTAGAAATGGTGAGAGCAGCACTGGGAAGGGTTATTAAGGATTATTAAGGGTCGCAGCTTGGAAAGAGAGGGCTGTGGGTAGATGTGAGCGTGAGTGTGTGTGTGAACAGGGGTGGGGTGGGGGGGGAGGACTGAAAATGAAAAAGGTTAGATGTGGAAGAGACAGAGAACTGCTTGCTGACTTCGGGAGGAGGGCACTGTGCTGGGAAGAACAGGGGGGGAGGGAGGGGGAGAGTTCATCCTGAGTGCAGTGGCGCCCCCTGCGTGGGGCGTGTCTCCCACCAGCCCGAAACTGCGGAGAGTGCTGAGTTACAGATAACAGTTACCCATAGACCTGTGAGAAAGTTAAATTTATAAACTAGGTGCAGGGCAGGAAGAGACTAACAATAGCTAATCAAGTGATGGAAAAATGGTAGCAGGCTCTCCAGGTTTCAGAACCCAGACGTTGGAAAATAACAATTCAGGGAACAACTTGGAGAAGCAAAAAATAAAAAGTAGATCCCTGCAGATCAGGAAGGAATTGACAGGAAAATTAAAAGCTACAAAGAAGTTCAAGAGAGTGACCTCAGTGCAGAGGAGGAAACAAAACAGTGTGCACTTCTGGCGGGCTCCTGGCTCCTGGCTCCAGGCTCGGAGGAGGGAGCCTGCCATCGTTGTGGACAGCAGGTGAGCGCTGGGGTTCCAGCGGTCTGCAGGGAGAGAGGGTGTCCATGGCTGAATTGGCAGTGGCTGTGATCTACGGGGCCGTGCAGGGTTCCGCTCTGCTGGGTTCTTCCACTTGGCAGGCAACAGCCCAAGAGGAATCCCAGCGCAGTGCTGGCCATACCGCCAGAGCATGCGGCTGGTGCCATCCTGGGAAAGGGCTGAATGTTTGACGCTGGGGCTCAGAGCAGCTGCGGGACGTCTTCACTTCAGCGTTCCCTGTAGCCCTTGTACAGGGACTGGGGGAGAGACTGGCTGTCTCCCTGGACAGAGAACAAGCTAGAAAGTGACCCCCTTAGGGGCTGAACCTGGGCCAGGAAGGACACAGCCTTTCCCACACCCTGTGGCTGGAGGCCGGCTGGCTGGAGGGGCTCTGGGTTTGAAAGTGTGGGCGCTGAGTACTGGAACCCTTGCCCCACCGCCTGCTTTGGCAGGTGTCTGGGGTTGGGACGCCTTCCTTATCTCTAGGTATGAACAGGGACACATCTCAGGTCTCAGCTTGGACACTGCCATGGACTGGGTACAAGAGGGTTCTGGAATGGGGGGCACCTTGTAAAGCTGCTACCCTTAACACTCGGTGGAGAAACAGTGAAATACTAGCCTCCAAAACTGAGAGTCCTGCAAGGAAACCGCTCATTCAGAATACACACACACACACACACACACACACATTTTTTTCCTTTCCTCTTCTTCCCTGGGTTACTGGGAATTTTCCTATGTCCCTTTGCCTAGTTTTTTTTTTTTTTTTTTTCCTATACTTTCCTTTTCCCTTTTAATTTTTTTTGTTTATTCTCTGTAATATTTTTGCCTTCTATTTCTCATCTGTTTTTTCCTATTACTTTTATATAATTCTATAAATATTCTCCCTAAAAGGACCTTTTCTCTCACTTCTCTCTCTTCATCTCCTATAGTTAAAAGTTTTCAATTTTTTCTTCTTGCATTCTACCATTTTCAATCTCCTATATCTTTTATAGTAAGTATAGCCATCATATCATTAATCTTTAGATAGTTAACTAGATATTATTCGTTGAATTATTTTTACCATTAGTAGAGCTAATAGTTGCTACATTTAGTATATATTTGCTGTATGTCGGTATCTTGGTGGTCTTTATGCTATAATTGTGGATTTCTTTTTCATAGATTCTTACCATATGGCATACCAATATCGTTTGTCTAGGATGATGCTACTGTTGCTGATTTGCCTTATATTGCCATGGTCACATAATCGTTGCTATTAATGGATTTTTTTCTGTATACCAACACCCAGATTACCTTTGTGACATTAACAATTCTGTGCTCCATTCTTAGAGTACTGGGTGTTGAGCCAATTGCATTCTCTCCTCCCCTCCCAAAATAACAGGGGCGGCCCACTCTTCAGGCAGAGGCAAAGAACTACAGTTACTGCTGCCCAAAAGGCATCGCTGGAAGGCTGACCAAAGACATCTGCATTCTAGCAACAAAGTCTTTGCACTGTAAGCACCCACAGCCTGAGCACAAAACAAAACAAGAGCAGACAAACAAACAAACAAACAACAACTACCTCAACAACAGCAGCAAAACTGGTAGAAACATGAAAAGACAAGGAAAAAATGACTCCTCAAACTCCCAGCTTCCTCAAAGCTGATCTGGGGGGCATCAAAGAGGAGAATAGAAAAACCAACACCCCTGAAGTATTCAATCAATAATTATCATTATTTGCAGATGACATGATTCTCTACATAGAAGATCCAAAATATTACACCAATAGTTTTCTAGAATTAATAACCAAATTGAGCAGCAAAGCAGAATACAAAGTCAACACATGAAAATCAGTAGCGTTTTGCACATCAATAATAAGCTCACTGAATAAGAAATTAGAGAAACAATAACTCACAATAGCATTAGGTAAAATAAAATACTTAGGAGTTCAACTCACCAAGGAAGTGAAAGCCTCTACAATAAAAACTGCGGTATTTTGGAAAAGGAGATCAAAGAGGACATCAGAAAATGGAAAGATGTCTCCTCTTCCTGGATAGACAGAACCAATTTAGTCAAAATAGTCATACTTTAAAAACTGATATACATATTTAATGCAATTACTATTAAACTACTAATAGCACTCCTCACAGAACTAGAAAATGCATCCCTAAAATTCATATGGAACTAGAAGAGACTTAGAGTAACAAAAGCAATTCTAGGCAACAAAGGCAAAGCAGGAGACATCATGATACCAGACTTCCAGTTATGCTACAAAATTGTGATGATGAAAATGGCATGGTATTGGCAAAAAATAACAAAAAACCAAAAACGCAGACATGGGGGTCAGTGAAACATAACAGAGGATGCAGAAACAATTGCAGGCACACACAGCTGACTGATTTTTGAGAAGAGGTCCAAAAAGTTTCACTGGAAGAAAGACAGCATCTTTAGCAAATGGTGCTGAAAAACTGGCTGTCCCCATGCAGTAGATTGAAACTAGACCTGTATTTCTCACCATGTACTAAAATAATTGCAAATGGGACAAGTATGTAAAATATTTAACCAGAAACAATCTTCTAGGAGACAAAATAGGCGAAACTTTGGTAGGCATAGACATAGACCAGGACTTTCTGAATATAACTTGATTTGCACAAGAAATAATGCAAAAAATCAGCCCATGGGATCATATTAAATTAAAAAGCTTCTGGACAGCAAAAGAAACAATCAACAGAGTGAGGAGACAACCTACAGAATGGGAAGGAATTTTTCTGCCAGGTATTCTTTGAACAGAAGACCAATATCTAGAATATATAAAGAACAAAAAAGTATTAGACACCCCCAAAATAAGAAATTCAATAAAAAATGGGCAACTGAAATGAATAGACAATTCTCAAAAGAAGTACAAATGACCAATAAATACATAAAAAGTGTTCAATATTGCTGGTCATTTAGGAAATGCAAATTATAGGAACACTGAAATTGCATCTCACTCCAGAAAACTGGGTAACATCAAGAAATCAAATAAATGCTGGTGAGTCTTCAGAAAAAGGAACGCTTCTTCATTGTTGGTGAGAGTGTAAAATAACCCAGCCACCATGGAGATACAGTATGGAGATTTTCTGAAAAAAACTAAAAATAGCAATTCCCTTTCACTCAGATATGCCCCTTTCCACAAGAGTTAAAGTCACATAGCGATCCATGTACATCCATGTTTACAGCAGCACAATTCACAATAGCTAAATCTTGGAAGTGGCCTATATACTATCAACAGATAAATGGATAAAGAAAATATATTTATACACAATGGATTACTATTCTGCTGTAAAGAAGGATAAACTTACTTTGTAGAAAAATGGACGCACCTTGAGACTGTGTTGTGAAATAAATCCAGTATACAAGCTTAAATACCGCATGGTTCCTTTTACATGAGAAACTCAAAATACATATAAAAAGCAAAGTAAAAGATGATGAGAAATAGTGTGATAGATCTCAAGTATATAGGAAGATAACAAAGACATGGAGGAGGAGGTAAGGAGGGGAGGGGAAAGGGAACCAAAGAGTACATTTGTAACATGGATTCTGATTTAGAGATTATTTTTAAAAGCTTTGAAGACACTGCTAAAAATCAGTATTCTGATATCCTAAAGCAGATAAATATGTTTCTGTTTAATGCAAATGACTTCCCTTGGACAGAATAATTATGATAAACAATTGTTCCTTCCCAGTGGGCATGGAACACCACTTGTGCTAACAAAATAATTCTTAGCACTTTAGTTCTTTGTGCATTAGGGTGAGCAGGATCTGGGCCCTCCTTTGGAGTGATTCCAGGTCTGTGATTTGAGATCCTGGACACAGTGAGGACTCCGGATCTTGTGGGAGATGTTAGCTTTGTCTACTGCAAACAGACACTGGTTTACATAAAAACAGTTCTGCAAGTAAAGGATGGAAAGACACTGATCTCTGTGCTGCCCAGTCCCTCTGCTTCCCTGGATTACTGATTTTCCCTCCATGCAATTGTTGATGCCATCTTTGCAATCTTTCTGCATTCAGCTTTAAACCTATGAAGAGAACCTTATTATTTATTGGCTCTGAGAAATTTAATTTAGCTTCTGGCACAATAGAACTTAGTGCAATAAAGGAACAAAGAGACCCCAAGGACCAGGAATGCATGATCTTTATGGTTTCTGTTTGTTTTGTTTTTGTCTTTTTGAGACAGGGTTTCTGTTGGCAGTTCAGGATGGCCTTGAACTCACTTTGTAGCTCAGGCTGGCCTTGAACTTGCAGCAATCCTCCTGCCTCACCCTCCTGAGTGCTGGAATTATAGGCATGTACCATCATGCCCAGATCTTTAGGTACTTAGATACCATTGTCTTTAAATAATGGGTCTGATGTGGGCTTCTCCTTGATTGCAGATTTCTGCTTGCCTGTTGTATCCTCATTTGATGGAAAGTGGAGGGAGGAAGCAAACTGTCAGGTATTTTCTTCTGAGAGCAGTAGTCCTATCCATGCAACCTCTATGTGAAGGACATGAGCACCTCTCGGATGGTCTCCTTGCTAATTCGATGATGATGAGGTTAGGATTTCAGAGTATGAATTTCATTTTAATGGGTGATGTTCACATGAACATTTGGACATGAGAAAAAAAAAACCATCCAGCACGTTGAAGCAGGTACTGAAATCTCAGCGATCCCCTCACACCCTGCTGGATTAAGGATTTGGGTGATATCGTGGCTCTTCCAATGGTCGCTCTGACGGAGAGGGGAATAAACAGCAGGCCGAGGTGATGTGACCATTGACACTTCATTAAAGAGCAAGAGCAGAATCAAGGAGAAGCTGCTGACTGGAGAACCAGGGAAGTGAATCATAAATTCATGGATTTCAACTCTGTAAATTGAAGAGTAGATTTCTTCCTAACTCAGATTTGGATATGAAAATGACCGTGTCGGTAGTTAAGAAATGAATATCAATCACATCCCTAGAGAGATATGGAGACGTGACATGAAACC